ATCGTAAGCATGGTTTCAAAAAATATTCAGAACCCATATCTTACCTGCTTGCAACTGAACAAAATAATGAACTGTTGATAAAAATCATAGATTACGTCCAACTGATTCTGTACAATTGCCTAAAACAAATGGTACTGCATTGCCTAAAGTAAATGCAATATCAAGACAATGATGAAGACGTGCACGTGGAATAAACTATGGACAAAATAATCAAAAAAACTATCAGTGACAAAGCAACAATTTCAAAAGACGCAAGGTAAATAAAAGTAGCAATCCAAAAATGAACATGAAGAATGTTACTTTAGGCCCTTGTTCGATACCCATTTTTTCTCAAAATATATTTTTCTCTGTCTTCTTTTCAGCCATACATTCTTTAATAAAACAATATTACACGTAAAACTAAAACTTTTTAATATTTCTTAACCACCCATTCTTCATCAATTAACAACTTCAAAATGCATTCTTACTAAAAAAGGGAAAGAAGTGGGGCTAGATGTGGAATGAAATGGCATTTGACACGTACCTGTAATGTGAGAAAATATTTTGTGGATCTTTACCAGGAAAAAGAAAAGGTGGAAACAAATTTTGCTAATTATGATGGCCCAATTGATGTAACTCATTTAGATGTCTCCGATTTCTTTGCTGATCCAAATGAAATTATTGTGGGTGGGTGTAATGGAAGATATGGGTTAGCTTCTTTTCTATATCTCTAATATTTCCCTTTATTCAGAAAATTTAGTTTGAAATATATTTTTACTTTTCGCAAAATTTGAAACTTTATTAAGCTCCGTATGTTTACACTTTTAAATTTAAATTTAAGTTTTTTTTAAATATATCTATTTTGTTATATTGATAGATTCATGATGAATTGTCAAGATACCTACTTGATTGATGGTGCAACTACACATATCATTCTTCAAAATAAAAAAAATATTTTTTTAAGCTTAACATTAGCAGAAAAATAATTTTAATATGATATGAGGTGTATCGAACATCGTTAAAGGCTCCGGAAGAGTTTGTATTATTTTACTAAATAATACAAAATTATATATTGAAGATACATTTTATCCTAACAAATTCAGAAGAAATTTGTTTAGTTTTAAAGATATCCGCTGCAATAGATAATATATTGAGACAATGCAAGAATATAATGTTGAATATCTTTGTATAACTTTTTTTGTATCTATTCAGAAGCGGATAAAAGAAAAATTTCATGCACTTCCATCTGACATGTATTATACATTTATAAAAATAATTGAATCACATATTGTCACGAACTTGAAGTTCGTTGATACAAAAAGTTTCATACTTTGGCATAATCGATTTGGACACCCAGGACTTAAAATGATGCGTCGAATATTAAACAACTCATATAGACATCCTTTAATGAATCAAAAGATTTTTTTACCTAATGATTGTCCATATGTAACTTGTTCGTTAGGCAAATTAGTCATTAAACTTTCGACTACGAAAATCAATATTGAATATCCAACTTTCTTGAAAAGAATTTATGGAGATATATGTGGGCCAATACGCCCACTATGTGAACCATTTTCATTATTTTATGATAGTAATTTATTTTTCTATTAGATGGTCACATGTTTGCCTACTTTTTACTAGGATGTAGCATTTGCTAGACTGCTTACTCAAATCATAAAATTACGAGCATAATTCTCCAATTACTCAATCACGACTATTCTTCTTGATAATGCTAGTGAATTTAAATAACAAGCATTTGATGATTATTGTATGTCCATACACAAATAAATTTAGGAGAGTCGTTTATTAAACGTCTACAACTTATTGTTAAACCATTATTATTGTTAAACCATTACTTATGAAAACAAAACACCTAACTTCTGTTTGGAGTCATGCAAAATTACATGTTGTGTCATTGATTCGTATTAGATCAACTGTTTATTATTAATATTCACATGTGTAACTTGTATTTGGTCATGAACATGATATTTCTCATATATGGGTTTTTAGTTGTCCTGTTCAAGTCCCTATTTCACCCCCACAGTATACTAAAATGAGTCCCCAACGAAAACTTTGAATTTATATGAATTTTGATTCACCATCCATTATTAATTATTTTGAACTTTTAACGGATGATTTATTTACCACGCGTTTTGTAAAATTTCATTTTGATTAAATAACTTTTCCTAACTCTATGAGGAGAAAAACTACATCCTGAAAAACAAATTAAAATTTCTTGGAATGACACAACTCCATCTCATTTTGATCCCTGCAGCAATCAATATGAACAAGAGAGTTGAAAAAATCATTCATTTGCAAAGAGTTGTAAATCAATTACTTAATGTATTTGTTGACGCAAGAAAAGTGACAAAATTATATAGTCCAACAAAAAATTGATATCCATGTAAGACAATCTACTACAAAAAATGGATCTCATATACATTAGAAGCGTGATCGACAGTTGGTTCAAAAGACTGTACTTCGAAAAAGAAAAAAGAAAAATCAACCAAAAACTTTGGGAGAAGTAACATTGGAAAAGATTGATCAATCAAATATTGAAAATATGGTTACTAAAGACAAATGTTCAAAAATAATGAGATTTTAATAAATTATACGTTATTTCATAAATTATGGGAACGAAATAATTTTATTATATATAACATTTTCACTTTTAATGTGCCTCTTGATATTATGTAAAATGAGAATCTTGAACCACGTACAATTAAAGCCTGTCAAAATAGAAATGATTGGTCAAAATAAAAAGAAGTCATACAGACGGAATTAAATTCTTTATAGAAACGAAAAGTGTTAAGACAAGTGGTTCAAACACTTGAAAATGTAATTAATGTTGAATACAAATAGGTTTTTATACGAAAAATGAAAATAATGAAATTACAAAATAAAAAGCCAGACTTGTAGCTCAAAATTTTTCACAAAGACCAGGAATTGATTATGATGATACATATTCTGTCGTAATGAACACCATTACTTTTAAATTTTTAATTAGTTTGATTGTGTCATAAATGCTTGATATACGCCTTATGGATGTAGTAACTGTATATTTGGACGATTCAGTTGATAATGAAATATATATGAAAGTCCCCGAAGGACTTTAAGTAACAGGAGCAAATGATACATGCCCGATAATCATGTTCTCAATTAAATTGCAAAGATCATTATATAGATTGAAACATCTGGACGCATGTGGTATAATCGCCTTAATGAATTTTTGCTAAGAAGTGTTACAAAAATTACGATGTCTATTCATTTGTTTTCATAAAAAAATAAATATTGGATTTGTAATTGTAGCAATTTATGTTAATGATTTAAATTTAATTGGAACTCTTGAAGAGATAACAAAAATGTTGATTTATTTGAAAAATGAATTTAAGATGACAAATTTGGAAAAAATCAAATTTTATCTTGGGTTGTAGATTGAACATTTTCTAAAATGACTATTTGTTCATCAATTTACATATACAGAAAAAGTTTTAAAAATATGAAAATGTACATCCATTGGCATCGCCTATAATTGTTCGATCATATGACATGAAGAATGATCCATTTCGTCAACTTGAAGATGGAGAAATGGTTCTTGGACCTGAAGTACCATATCTTAATGCAATTGGATTATTAACATATCTTGTCAATTGTATTCGATTCGACATAGGTTTTTTTGTAAATTTCCTTACAAGATATAGCTCTACATCAACTCAAAGACATTGAAATAATGTTAAACATATTTTTCATTACCAAAAGAGCACTATTGATTTGAGATTATTTTATTCTCAAGAATCGGGATATACTTTAGTGGGATATACAGATGCATGTTATCTCTCCGACCTACATAAAGCTAAATTATAAGCAGGATGCATGTTTACACGTAGAGGAACAACTATATTATGGAAATCTGTAAAGCAATCATTGACAACAATATTATTAAATCATTCTAAAATTATTACAATTCATGAACCAGACCAAGAATGTGTACGGTTGAGGAACATAACCCATCATATCTAAACATCATGTGGGTTAATTTTAACAAAAGATAGTCCTACAATTTTGTATGAAAATAATGCAACTTGTATTGCACAACTTAAAAAAAATATATCAAAGGTGATATGATGAAGCATATTTCTTTAAAATTCTTTCATACACATGAGTTTCAAAAGAAAGACGATATCGATATTCAACAAATTTCGCTCAAATGACAATGACACAATGTAGTTAATTTATTCACAAAAACACTACAACATATATATTTAAAAAATTAGTTCATAAGATTAAAATGTGTGGATTCAAAGATTTTCACTGATTAATATCAGGGAGAGTAGCTGTACTATTTTTCCTTTACTTAGGTTTTATCCTACTGAATTTTTCTAACATGGTTTTAATAAGGTAGCATTTATTTTAATATTTCAAAATACTCTTTTTCTTTTTTTCGATTTTTTTGTCCAATTGGTTTTTTTAAAACAAGATTTTAATGAAGCAAATATTTTATAATGTATCATTCAAAAAGAGTATAGTAATTGGTAAGTTTATTAAGGCTTATAAATGAATGACAATTGTACCCCTACAAACTTAGAAATTATTATCGTTGAATTCTGCTCTATAAACATAGGTTTTTGATTTTTAATAAAATATATACAAATCTATTAACTTCTTTTTATTTATTTTTTTTCCTCTCTCTTTCCATAACACTATTTAAAAATTATTCTTCGCCAAAAATGACCGTAAAAAAGGGGCTAAAAGAACCAAAAGCACTAAAAAGAAATAGAAATTAAGGTCCCGTTTGGTAGCATTTTTTTTTAAATTCATTTTTTTCTTTCTTTTTTTCAACTACATATTTTTTATTAAAATAATATTATACATAACTCAAAAACTTTTACTTATTTCTTAACCACACATTTCACATCAATTTACTATTTTAAAATATATTTTTACATAAAAATGCATATCAAACAACCCACCCAAAGAACGGTCGAACCGATCTCAGACCGAAAAAACAAATGCCTTATAATAAGGGGACTCCGCTTTTCCCGTTTTCGGAAAATTCAGATTAGTTTAGTGTGCGCGACAGTGCCAGTACTGAGTCGACGGCCTTAAGGAATTCTCTTGTTCTCGCCCCATGTTGAAGCTATCGAAGCTGCTTTCTCACTCTAGGTATACTTCTTAAGCTCTTTTTTGTCTTCTGTTAATTATTTTTTCCTTTGGCTGGGGTTTCACTATTTTCTTGAAAACAAAAAGAATAAGCCTATATCATTTGATTTAAAAAAAAAAAAAAAAATTCTAGTAAAAGTTGGAAAAGAAGATTAGGGTATTTCTACAATTATGTTTTTGCCTAATTTTTTAACTGGGTCGTTGAAAAACATTGTGTTGATGGTCTAGTTTCCAGGTTTCTTTATTTATTTATTTATTTTTTCCTGGGTATACGATAACAGAACGAAGGTTTTCTTTGAGGTTAAAATTTATTTCCTATTGAAAACGCAAAAATGTGCGGTTAATTTATGTTGGAGTGGTTGTAAGAATAGGGATGGAAATTGAAGATTTTGGTTATTGCTGGGTAGGTTTTATGAGGTTGGGAAGGTGAGCTGTTCTTGGTTAGTTCTGAGCAGCTGTTCTTGGTTAGTGCTGGTTGAGGGTACCTTTTGGTTACTGATCTCACCTGGTACAACATTGCTCCACTTGGTCAGGCTTTCGGGTGCATGACTTTATTGGTTCAGTCTTTCGTTTAGCCTGTTGTCACAGACCGTTCTGGTCACCTGTCATACAATGTTCTTTTGAGATGGACCTGAGTTGTCTGGGCTGATCTAGGGTTTCGATAGATATAGTAATCCACTAATAACTGAGTTGGAATTCATGATATCAATTAAGTAGGAAAATTTTGGAGACGTGGTTGCAAGCCACAATTATTGTACTTTGAAAGAAAGGGAGTCAATTTGCTAAAGTCTAAATGTTAAAGGATAAGCCACAATTGTTAAAAAGGGGAAACTATTTCAATCTTAAACTTAAAATTATGGTACGTGCATATGTGGGAAAAGAGAGAGGTAAACTATGGAGAAATAGTTTATTCATATAGTATTCTTATTCAAACCATGTTCCACACCCACAACGTTGTAAAAATGTTTATAGCTGGAAGGTCGTGTGCAGACTTAAAAAGCACATCTTAAACCTGAATGAAGCGTTTGGAATTTGGGTCAGTATTAAACACTACCAATCAAGAACATTGGAGAACCGTAGCTTGGCATCGTAGAAACTTGCTCATTATGGTCCATTATAGGCTATCTTGTTTAGACTGTCGGATTTTGAAAAGACACAAATACAGCGTCCAATCAGAGGTGTTAAAGTGATAATTCATTTTCCTCGTTATGTTTCACGTGAATTCTATGTGCAGCTATCTGAATTGATCTTAGAAGGTTAAATAAAATTGTTGTGCCCATCAAGTCCCTAGTCCTAGCTACCTTCCATCATTTACACAAGTATATATCTTATCAGTTGGTATCATGCTGTTTTATAACATTTTTAGTTTGTCAAGAAGCAAACTGGAATAGTTGAATTATTTTTATATTTCAGTAAAGATCGTGTTTGTTTAATCTTCTCAGCTTCATGGAATTAATTGTACTCATGTCAGTTTTTGTTGACTGAAAATAGGAATCAATTGTCCCAGAAAAGGTTATTTGTGGAAGCTGTGAATCATCAGTGGTTGCGTGGTATGAGTACCAAGGCTAGCCTGTCAACTGCTGGACAAAATTTTTTGCCTGACGGTATCAAATTATTTTGGCAAGGATTATTCGTTTTCTCTTCACAAGGGAGGTGAAGTCATCACTAATCATCTTGCTCTACTTTTGATGCATTCAGGGAGATCTGCAGCTAAAATATTTGCACCCTATTCAATTTACAAGGGGAAAGCTGCACTTTCTGCCTCCCCTATTCTTCCAACATTTAGTAAATTGGAAGTACAATGTTCAATACCTTTTCTGAAATCTTTTCTCCCCAAGAATATCTTTAGTTATACAGATTTGAATACTGAATATATGCTTTCTTCATTTTTTTTAGTCTGGAGGTATCAGAGTTGATCGCCGCGGTGTCATATTCTTGACTTTCTGGCCTGCTATTGGTGAGCGCAAGTATGATTGGGATAAGAAACAGGTAATCAACTCGTCTCCTTGGCTAAATATCAAGTCTTAGCTCAAAAATTTATAATTATTGATCCTGAATGACCCTTTAAAGATTGAAACAATTCACTCTTCCTTGGATTTTCCTGGAAGGATGTGGCAATCTCAAGGACATTTGTAACTTTTGCTTGCTCGTCGTCAACTCTTAGCAGTTGTCTTGAAAATGTACTTGCAAAAGATTAAAATCCTCTCTCATTGAAATGTTCAAGAACACCTCACACACATGTAGGCATGCATGCGTCTTCACGCATTCTGTGGCTTGACTGACTGTTATACTAATATATTATAGACTTTTGCTTTGTCGGCCACGGAGGTTGGATCCCTAATTAGTTTGGGTCCAAAAGATTCCTGTGAATTCTTCCACGACCCATCAATGCTGTCAAGGTTTATTTTCTACTCCGAAAACTTTTTCCATTATCTGCTGTTCACGATCTTTCAATCTTTCTTTTGTTTATTTTGATTTTTTGTACTAGGATTGATTTCAGTTACTGGCTTTCAACTGAGTTCTATTTTACAGCAATGCAGGACAAGTTAGAAAGAGCTTATCAATTAAGGCACATGACAATGCTGGAGGCTACTTCATTTCTCTGAGTAAATCTTTTATTTTTTTTCATATGCTAATATTCCGCTTCTTGATCGAGATGTTTAATTGAATAATCATGTCCATCAAAAATGAATATCGAGTATAGAGTGGATATTATTATCCATGTGCATGAAATAGCAGGGCGTTATTATGCAGATACAAATACGAGGCTGAAATTTTGAATTTTAAGTGATTTTGACCTGTGTTCTCTAGTCATCGAGGAATTTGGTAAGTGTCTTATGCAGCACCTGATGAATTCTTGCTATCTTACACGTATTCTATATGCAGATGTTGTCAACAATATCCTCAAAACTAATGATCGGTTTGTTGTCCCTGTTACTACTGCTGAATTTGCAGTCATGCGAACAGCTTTCAACGTATGGCACTGTATCTTTTATGTTTCTGTCTTTCCGTATTTATTCTGGTAGTGAGTACTTCTTGAAACTGTGCTGTTTGTGAATATCTTAAGGTTGAGGATGAAAAGCTAACATCATTTGTTTGCGTTTCTTGATAATTACAATAATTCGTAGTTTGAGAAAGAGAATACATTTGTGCTTGAGCAAAATCATATTTTTACTAGATAATGGACTCGGTTTGAGTATAGAATTGTTTAGTTTGTCCTCCATGAAATGTTTTGAGTCTTTCAGTGATAGGAGACAACAAAATATACCAAAAGAAAGGTTGAGCACACAATAACCGGCACAGAAAGTGCCATGCATTGTTTAGCATTGTTTCCTAGTGGACTAGAGAGACCTACAGATAAATTTCTGTTAATCCGAGAACTCAATTAAATAGGATGGAAACTATTAATTTCTCTATCTAAAGGGAAATAACCTGCCCAAAAAGTGCCATCCATGTTGTGATTGACAATGAGAATTTGAAAATACCGAATATTTTCATTTTCCACGATTCAAATTATGACTGGCTGCTAGATGCTTTGAGCGGGTGAACATGACAATAAACATGGCAATGCTATATTTAATTGTACTTTTGATTTTGCTTGATTGGTTTAATCCCGGTTTTATTTATTTTCCTTCTGGTCATCTCATTTTCTGTTTGTGCATCAATTTTTTCCATGTTATTGCTGCAGTTTGCATTGCCTCACATCATGGGTTGGGACCGGTATACTAATCAGCCTCCCAAAAGCATAGATGAGAATCCACCGAGGCTTGCTTCGGAATTTATGGCGACTGAGTGGAATAGATGAAGTTCTGTATGTGTCTTCCTCGCGATAACCATGCTGTTTCTTCAACTAATTAACGACCTTGCTGTTCTGGCGGCAAAAAGGGCAATAGTCTTTTAGTTTATGTGATTATCCTTGATTTTGAAAATGCTCAAAAAACTTTTGTCCAAAATGCTTGATGTATCCTTGAATGGGGGATGATTCCTATGGTGGTGGTCTCTCAAGTATGTTGTGGGTTTTGGTTACACAATGCATGCTTGAAGGCTGTTTTCTTCGCGGAGCAAATCGAGGTATAACTTATATAATTATGACCCTACAGCGCTCGTAGCAAACCAATCTTCTTTCTCATACAGCTACAGTGCATAAAAAATACACATTTAACTCAGGCCATTAAACAACAAACTATTTGCTAAACCAGCACCGAGTGAGCACTGACGACCAACCATCCCGGCTCTGTCAGCAATCTCTTTTTCCCCCTATGTTGGACAATCGCTTGATGGCCGTCCAAGCTCACTTCTCATTCTGGTTCCGCTAGTGCCGCAAGTCCCATCATCCCAGCAAGGGGAGTAATGAAGCATGTCATTTTATCTCAGCAAAGTTAGAGAAGAGTGAGATGACGATACAAATTGCATAAATACTGTACAAGCATACATCATGTAGGATTGTTGATCCATGGATTGCTAATAAAATGTCAGGATATAATGACCAAGAAAATCGACATGTAAGTACAGCATGCTATGTGTACGGCCAATCACCGCCTCTCCGAACTCTTAATTGAAACTAATGTACTGCGTAGTAAAAAGATAATAACTGTAAAAGATGAATTATGAAGCCACAACGCGAAATTTGAAGGTTATACCTTTTAAGACACACAAAGCACTTGATGCATCACAATATGTCCACCTGTGTACCCGGGTAGGCTTTGAAATTTGCATAACAAAGCCTTGGTAATCTTGAATTGGAAACTCTGGCTTCCGTTCAAGATGGTGATAAGGCTCAAAGTCAGGGACGAACAAAAGGGAACTCTAACGAATGCACTTCACACCATGGCATATACCTAACCAAACTAAGAATAACACAAGACACACTAAAGCATCAATGGCAAGAACAATCCGCACATGGCGACACCATTTTTTTTGGAAGTTTTGAGAGCTCGACCTTCTCATCGATCCAATATCCTTATGCAACGAGACTGGAGAAACTGATGGACCTTGGTCGTTAGAATCTATAGCTCCTGAATCAACCATTACTCTATCTGTAGATTTCCGATGTTCCTCCAATTCAATATGTTTCATAACAATTACATGTTCCTTCATTTGCTTTTTCTCTTGCTTGCTCAGCTTTCCCAATAAAGGGGCTTTTGTAGAAGATGCACGGGTCTCTATCGGACCATTGGCATTGTTACCTGGCGAAGGAGAGAGCTCACTAGTCTCAGCCTGCCACTCAGAACCCGTAACTGAGAGTTGCTCCAATGAGGCAACCATACTTTTTATGGCCGGAACCAATTGTTCTTGTAGACACACAGAATTCAGATTAGACATACTCCTGTTTGAACTTCTTTTGGCCACCTTTCTAAATTCATCCTTCAAATTTTCTAAAAACCGAAGAAATCCCGGGTTGCCAAGACTCTCATTCACTATAGCGAAATACACACAGCCATCCTCCATCAGGAACCCAAATGTTTTCTTATTCATTGTCTGAAAATACCATCTGTGATAGGGAGGAGTCATCTCTAAGCACAATGCAGCCAAGTTCTCAATTTCATGGTCTGCATCATTATAGGCGTACAAAACTCGATCCCCCTTCAGTACACAGCAATAATATACAATATTTTGAGTTGAATCCATATGAAAAAAGGCCAAAACCAATCTCAATATTCACAGATTGAATACAGCTCCTGCCAAATAAGAACCAATCAAATCGCTACCAACCATTTCAGTAATTAACGAACCTATGGAATCAATTTTGGAAAAATTAAGTAGAAAAATTCTTTAATTAACGAGGCAAACACCAAGCGAAGGGATAAAATATTATCAATAAATTGGAACTCAAGAACCGTGCCCTTCATTCACGTGTTATCTTTCAGCAAATCCACATCAAATTCAAAAAACCCAGAAGTCAGAAAGTTGAAATATCAAGTGATGAGAAATAAGAGTAGTGTGTGGTCAACGAAAAAGCAGAAAAGCAAGATTTGTAGCTTACCTGGAATTCGAGATTTAGTTGATTGCAGATTTCTACAACCTGGGACTTCCCCACCACAGCGACTAAACTCAGAGATAGAGATATGGGCTATTTGGGCGGTGATCTTTGGACTGAAACAACAGGATCCAGTGACGATGACTTGATACTGTACCGGTGATTGGCGTTTGATGGTTGACAAAGTTCGAGGTCATAATTTTACCCTTGACTTTTTCTTTTGTTAACGTCAATATAAGGAAAATTGCTCAATTGGCTCCCAACCAATTATCTTACTTTCAAGTTAGTTCCAACTTTAAAAAAGAAGTTAGTTAGTCTTCGACCGGCGACCGAACATATAATCAGTTCTCAACAATAAAAATCTCAAATACATCTTTATTAGGTAGGTTCAAGTATTGCTAATTAGTCGTCAAGAGCGTTTGGTCAAGTTGGCAAAAAGGCATGGCCTGGGAAACTGGGTTGGCTTCGACGAGAGTTCAACCCACGCTTGAGACATCCGCCTTCTCCTTGAAGAAGATTTAACCGGCTGGTGTGGTTACGGGTCTTGTGCCAGCTCCTAGGTTTACCTAGTGCACACTGGTGGTCGGGCCTCCGCTCTAAGAGTGGTCGGGGCTCCGCCAGTAGCGGCTGCGGGTTCCTGGGTTATCAAAAAAAAAAAAAAAAAAAAAAGAGTATTGCTAATTAGTCGAACAAACCCGACTTTGTACTGTATCACTTGTTGATCAATCTGGTTGGCATCTTAGATCATTACTTAAATCTCGTATGTTCAATTTTATGAAGTTAGTTTTTGCTTTTGAATTTATCTTTCCGTTCAGAGTGACACATGTTTTTAAGAGGATTGCATGATATAAATGGTGCAATTATAATGAAATGTTGGAGACCGACTTAGTCTTTTTAAAAATTGGGATCAGAGATGCTTTTTTTTTTTTTTTTTGAAATAATTGCCGCAAAACTAGTGAAAAGTAATGGGATGAAGAAAAGACAGGTGTAACCATGACGTCACTTATTTGACATTTTAAAACATTTTCATTTGCTTGCGTTTTTCAATGTTAAAAGATTGTACAGAATATGCATAAACAAATAAAAATTAATTATTGATCTTACGAAACTGCTTTCTTATAATTGATTTCTTCAAACTTGTTTTAATTTAACAACACGGGAGATTGGTGATAGGTAGGAGGAATGCTCTCCTTTAATCATTAGGTATTTTAAATTTTTTTTGAAAAGTATCTATAAACTGTTTAAATTATAATTAAATAAAGCGTAATGAACACGTAAATAATACCTATGAATCTCTTAAAATATGTAAATAAAGTAACTTGAGTGTTTATAAATAATTTATAAACACGAGCCATAGTAAAGTGTTAAAGCTCAACAATGACATGTTGAGAACTAATTGCACGATATCTACGTATCAGAAATAAAGACGTTAAGATAATTGTATAAAATAGCGTGAACAAATAAAAATAGAGACAGCCGATCTCAACTCTTATTTCGAACATGGCTCGGCTTGTTCTTGTAGTAGTTTTGTCTCTATGGGTTAAAATATGAATGATTCGTGTTTCTTGATCTTTATTTCTAAAATAAGCCATGTTTCTTGATTAAGCACACAATTCAACTACAAATACTAAATTCATTTCAGAAAGGAAACTGGGTATTGAAGGGAAGAAAATAATTAATAGATTAACAAACTACATATTTTCTGACGCAGAATGCTCAAGTGATGCCGCCTTAAAATAAATATATACAAGATAGGAAAGGGTCAAAGTCAAATCCCCCAAGTGATTACAACTTTGTCATCGAATATTCCTTTCTTCCCTTGCCTTAAGAGCTTCCACCTCCTCATTTGATAGGAGATCGACAAATGGTTCGTACACGTCCCACTCCTTTCTCTTCCTGCAAGGAATGGCTTCCCGATGAACTTGAAGCATAAAAAATAATTCATTTCAATAAAAACCGAAAAAATCTGCACTACAAGATTTGTCCAATGGTTTTTGGCCTTTTTGGGAAGCACAAACCAATTGATGCACTCGCTTTGGTTCAAACAATAGCACAATAAGAATTGAATCATAATGGATCCTTGAAAAGACGAGGACACATTTATCATTTTACTCTAGAATATTAGCATTTTTCCGTGCATCAAATACTTTTGAAGTTTCCAATCTAGGATTTAGTACAGAATACTAACGTACCGAATGACACTCGATTTGTTACCAAACAGCTTGACCAAGTCCACAGCATTTCCACCTGTCTTGCTGACAGTGATGAAGGGAGGAAATAGAGAAGCATTATTTTATCAGTATAACTTGACAGTTGCACAATATAATTTCATCTGTTCCAAGGATGCTCGTTCTTTTTGTTTCCAAGGTGAAAAGGATAGCAAAGTAACTTGAAACCAATATTAAAATACCTGGCAGAGAAAATTTCACCCGCTCGTCGCCCTTTCTTGCTTAGTCTGCTTTCCTTTGCAGAAGTCACACTTTGTACAGCGATCTAATCATTAGAAGACAAAAGTTGTAAATGGAGATGATTCTGATTGCAAATGGGTAAAATGATAGGCTATTATGAGTATTGAATTGAATTCTAACCTCGTAAAGTTGCTCCCTGATTGCAATAGCAATGGCAGGCTGCAAATCAAATAGGCAATCAGTTTTCCTGAAGCAGACACTTACCATAGCAGAAGTGAAGGTAAAATTAACAATGTCAATACACGTGTCAAAGAGAATAGGTTCCCAGAAGTAAGACGCTTCATACAAGAATAGTTTTTCAAAAAGGCATTAGAAATACAACAGTACTGCCCAATGCAACACAAATCAGCAAACATATTGGAGACATCATAGATGATGTAACGGAGGACAACAAGAACAGCACCACAAAAGCAACAACATGCATGCATCCCCACACGCATACAAAGAGAGAGAGAGTACTAGTTGCCTGAACACGCTAAAGATTCTGTTCCTCGTTTATCAGAAATTTAAATAAACACACACATAAAATAGGACACGCTGCGTATCAGAGAAGTGTTCCGGAATGTCCAAGGCATATCAGCATTCAATACCAGTGTTGGACATTAATGCTGTTAGACATTAATCCTCAACCCTAGGAGGAATGTCCATGCTTCACAAGTAACCTCATATCAACTAGTTAAGAAGAAATCATTGATAGTTTGTGGGCTTGGAGCTGAGCAAATAAAAACTATTGCATGCAGGAAGGCTATAATTGTCGTCGGACGAACTTGGAGCTAAGCAAATAAAAATATCCTATGCAGGGAGGTTATAATTGTCGTTGGAAGAACTTGGAGCTAAGCAAATAAAAATTAGGGAAAATTGCAGCCGAGGTATCAAACCTTTCGTTTATTAGCAGACTTTGCCCAAACCTTTTATTTGTGCCACTAAAGGTACCAAATCTTTCAAAAATTCTCACCCGAAGTTCAAATGGATGGAAACTATTAGTAAATCCGTTAGTTGACCTAAAGTCAACATTTTGACTGCATTTTTAAGGGTAAAAATGTAACATTAGGCTTTTATATTAAAGAATTAAAATAATTAAATTAAAAACCCAAAAATAAAATAAAAAGAAAAGAATTTCAAAAACTTTTCTTCTTCTTCTTCTTCTTCCCTACACGGCTGACCCCGTCCCACCCCACCCCACACCACACCACAAAAATCAACCAACGTCCACCCACCCCAATTGCGCCAACCACTGCCATTCACCGCTCCTGAATCGATCGACGACCATCATCCACCATACCCAAATGAGCTCCCAAGGCGGTTTCAGGCAGTGGTCGCAATAATTTAATTAAAGATGGAGCAGCTGAAGACAATCAGCCAAGAGCTCGCAATGAGCTCCCAAGGCAGTTTCGGGCAGTCAAAAGAGTTTCTTGACCTCATCAAGTCCATCGGCGAGACTCGATCCAAGGCCAAGGAGGACCGCATTGTTTTGCGCGAAATAGATACCCTCAAAGCCCGATTATCTAGTCCCAATACCTAGAAATTCAAACTCAAGGCGTATCTAATGAGTCTTATTTATGTTGAGATGCTGGGCCACGACGCCTTGTTTGGTTATATTCATGCTGTTAAATTGACCCATGATGAGAGTTTGTCGTTGAAGAGGACTGGTTATTTGGTGGTGACTTTGTTTCTAAATGAGGATCACGCTTTGATAATTTTGATTGTGAATACGATATAGAAGGATTTGAAGAGCGATAATTATCTGGTGGTTTGTGCCGCTCTTAATGCTGTGTGTAGATTGATTTATGAGGAAACAATACTTGCTATGTTCCCGCAGGTGGTGGAGCTCTTGGAGCATCAGAAAGAGGCGGTGAGGAAGAAGGTAGTGATGGCTCTCCACAGATTTTATCAGAGGTCTCCGGGGTCGGTCTCCCATCTCATTTCCATCATCTACCATAGGTCGTCGACTGATTTAGGAGCGGTGAATAGCAGTGGTCGGCGCGATTCGGGTGGGTGGACATTGGTTGATTTTTGTGGGGCGGGGCAGGGTTGGCTGCGTAGGGAAGAAGAAAAGTTTTTGAAATTCTTTTCTTTTTATTTTATTTTTGAGTTTTTAATTTAATTATTTTAATTCTTTAATATAAAAACCTAATGTTACATTTTTACCCTTTAAATGCAATCAAAATTTGGTCAAAATGTTGACTCTAGGTCAACTAACGGATTTACTAACGATTTCCATCCATTTGAACTTCGGGTGAGAATTTTTGAAAGGTTTGGTACCTTCAGTGGCACAAATGAAAGGTTTGGGCAAAGTCTGCTAATAAATGAAAGATTTGGTACCTCGGCTGCAATTTTCCCTAAAACTTATCTTATGCAAGGAGGTTATAATTGTCGTCGAAAGCTATGTTGCTCGGACTCGGTTACGGGTATCATGTATGGATATGTATCTGAGTGTCAGATCTTATATTTTCTAAAATATTGGATATAGTGATATGAATAGAAAAAGTCCAAATTTCGAACACGTGTACTGGATATGTCTTTCAAACTTCAATTTTTTTTACTAATTCAAGCTATTGTTTTAAATAGATCAAAATCAATTATTCACGAAGAAGAAAAATGGGTATTGAATAAGGGGTTAATACGAATAAAATAGAATTTTGAGCTTTAGTTTTTAATTACGAGAATTACAACATATTATATAAAATAGAAAATAAGGAACTTGATTGTGATTTGATCTTAGTGGAGAACTAAGTAGCATTATATGAAACCATTTTCATTTTATTTGTATAAAACTAAACCATAGATACAAAGAGGGAAAGAAGGGAAAAAAAGAGAAGAAAATGGAAAAAAAAAAAGAAAGGAGGAAAAGAAAACAAAACTTAGCTCCACTGCCTTTCTCCACCCTCTCGACAGCGACACCAAATTTAGAGAGAGTAGAAATGAGAAAGAAAAAAAGGGAAAGAAAATGAAAAGAAAGAAGGAGAAGAAGCAAAAACGAAGGAGTGTCCGATTGAAACTTGGAAGATCCGACACATATTCCATAACCATACCCGTGTCGTGTCATGTCCGACACGGGAACTCCAACTATTTCGAAGAGTCCAAGCATCGGAGGTCAAAAGAACATGGAGCTAAGCAAATAAAAATTATCCTATGCACAAAGGCTATAATTGTCTGAAGAACTTGGAACTAAGCAAATAAAAATTATCCTAAGCAGGGAGGCTATAATTTTCTGAAGAACTTGGAGCTGATCAAATAAAAATTAAGCGATGCAGGCCAGCTACAATGAGAATATTGTATCCTGTTTATTAATGTTCCCTTTGCCAGAAGAAGTAATTCATAACATCGAAGCTTAAGACAATTTTTGTGATCTGGCTCTCTGTTGAAGAACACGTTAGGAAGAATCAACTGGTAAGAATCTGTAAGCCTTTAGATGGTGATTTAGGTATAAAAATAATCTCAGAGGATGGCATGGCAAACCAAGGTACGGGCTCCCTGCAGGTCAAATGGGTACATTTTTATATAATTTAAATTCATATTTTCAAGGCATCATGTGACCCAAGGATTACATCGGCATATGGGGAAATTTGAGCCTGTTTCAATTTGAAGCTGATAGTCTACACAAGATAGCCTATATAAGTTCGATTCATGTACAAATTCTCAGTATGGAAAAGAAATTTAAAAGGAAAACCACACAAATATCCTAGACAGGACAGGCAGCTTTGCTATGTTCGTGAATACATACTGATCACCAAAAATAGTACAATTTACGAACTACTAAGGCTTCATTTGTTCACACTCGATAAACTTTTTCATTTGAAAATCATTCTTGTTAGAAGACATTATTCTATGTTTGGCAAACCTTTTTTCTGTAATTGCCAACCACTAGCATGCGTGCACTGATGGCTGACTAGTTGTCACTAATGAGTCTTCAAATCATTAGAGATCAGTAACTGGTCTCCAACGACAACCCGGTAGTCCTTAGCAACACACCCGAGGTTGTCTGGACCAGCTAATAATCTCTGGCAACCAACTGATGGTCATCATCAATTGCTTGATGGTCCTCGATTATCATCAGGTAGTCTTCAGCAACTATATGGCAGTAATCAGTGACTGACAGGTGTTCACTAACTGGTCATTGGCATTCAATTGGTGATTATCAACAGCAAGTAGTGCTTTATGGCCGTCGGTGGAGGTTGAGTGGTTTATTTATCTCTGATATAAGTTGGTATAAGTTTTAAAAACCAAAAGAACAAAACATGTCTAGTTAGAATCACTTGGTTTTCCTGACTTAATTATTTTCAGTTTTACCGCTTTTTCTTAGCATACCAAATATTGAAAATGCGAAAACATTGCAAGTACTTACTCCAACTTCTGGGTCTTCAATGCCCATATCTTTGCAAAAAATTCTAGCAAATTCTTCAGGATCACTCTCAAAATTGTTCAACTCCTGAAATTCATTTTTTATATATTCTTGTCAAATGACTAAAGCAGCACATATCAAAACCACTACTTATTTCACAAGATCTACAAAATTCTCATGGGGCTGTTCAAAAAATAAATAAAAGCACGTGGGTGTACTTACCCACAAAAAATGGTCCTTGATGATAGTATGGTTAACTCGAAGGTCTAGCTGGTTCACAATACATAAAGAAAGGAACAAAAAATTACCACCACTACTTTTAGTTCATTGATTAGCCAAAAGAAAATGCAGAATAGTTACAAATAAATACAATAAAATAACACATTTTAGCCTCAAGGGCGGGCTAACTGGAATAACAAGTTAGTCTTGTCAAAACCTTGATGGGGACAACTCTCTCTCCAATGTACATATCCTGTCCTTCATATGACCGAAATTCTGTTAGCTGTGTCTGCAACAAGTGTGATTTGAACATCAAGAATCATAAATGGTAGCATTGGACTTTTTGGAGTTAATTCGATAGTATATTTTTGAGAGAATAAAACAGGGGCTTTCTATACCCAATTTTTATTGAAATATAGAGCATAACAGAAAATGGTGCGCCAATACAAGGACAAAAAAGCAACTTAAGAAATGGATTGTTATATTATACTTGGATGGATTGAGCAATCTGTGTGACAAAAGCAGGCGGAAGCTTCAAGTCTTTCACTGTTCTTTTTGCAAATACCACAACTTCAGAATCAGGATCTACAGTAAGAAAAACATAAACTTAGTTCATGGCTTTGCAAAATGCACAAGTAATGAGAGATAGTATGCGAATAAATTACTAGTACAGATCATCCAGTACTTACATAGTTCAAGTGAGGAAAATGTAATATCAGTTACGGGTAAACCATTTAGGCGAATCGAACATCCCCTCTTGCACATACCATAAAATCAACTCGGGTTAAGACATATACCCCACTAGTTGGTCTTAGGGTGTAGTTGGGGGATGAAGACCAAAGTGAAAAGGACAAAGGGAATAATACTCTCCACTCTATGATCTAAATTAAGGTTGAGATTACTATAATATCAAACTGTTTATGACTCACGTTCCTAGTTCTGGTGGGATGCTAGAACTTTCACCCCCTAGATGCTAGGATCCTACCTCGAACCTAGAAAAGCATGCCATAAGTGGGGGAAAAAAATGTTTCAGTCCGTACCGAACAGGAATTAAGACAACTGACCACTCTATTTCCTGACTATCATAGTTATTTCTCGCAGTGTTGAATCTTTACTACCGCTACACATCTCTTCACAGCTGACATATCATTTTATCAGTTTCGTTTTTCACAGAAAAACGTTTGGCACCCAGGCTCATGAGTCATGACTAAGCATAAAATAATAATAATAATCAATAATCAATAGAAGTGCAGAATATACAGTTGAAGAAAGTATAGCATGAGTAGCTACCAGAAGGGTTCCAGGTGAACGCATCTCTAAATCTCTGGCCATCGATTTCAATATCCAGACGTATAGGAACTAGGTTGTCCGAAGTCGGACTGCATAGGAATTACAACTCCGAAAATCATTATATGACAAAACAAAACATAGACAGAAGAAAAGAAATCAAATTACTACTAATTAATAGATTCACTTACATTCTGAACTTGACGAGGTTCTTGGATGTACCCCATGCTGAGTGCGATTTCATATTCGCTAAATTACTCTCCGATTAGTCCCTGAAACGACACGCAGACTCGCCGAAAGTCGGTATTATTTATCGAGGTCAAGGGCGAATTTTGATTTTTAGGGGTAAATAAAACGGATTAATTGTAACCGAGGTCACTGAACTTCATCCTACCTGCAAGTAGATTACTGAACTTTAATTTCCGGCTCTTGGGTCACTCAACTTTGGTTTAACGGCAATTAAAAGTCACCACGTCAATGGGACGTTAGAATATAGGAATATGATGATTTTACACCGAGCTTATAGGAATTTAATGGTTGTACGCCGTGTATAGCATCCTCACAAAGGAGGGGGTTCGCATCCTATAAAAAATCGCGAGCCCCTTTCTTGTGAGGGAGGCCTTGATGTACGAGTAGCAAGAATATAAGATAGAAGTTGATGACTTGAACGTTAAAGCTATGGGGAGAATGATGCAGACTACCACATGGAATTAATTGTCACTTCTCGCCAAATTAATTAAAAATTCAAAGAACTATATCTTTTACTTTAATATAAATCATTTTTTCAGCATGGGAAAAAGGGGAAATTTTTTAAGGTTTTCAAGTCTAATTGTTTGATCGATTGAATTGAAGAATAGGAACTGCATTCAAACTAGAGAGAACGAGGACTTGAATATCAATGAAACAAGTGTAGTCGTAATCACGTCATAGCAGGTGGATTTTGTCAATAAATATGATGTTTGACCCAATTATTCTCTTCTTTTATTTTCATTTTTGCGAAATACAAATGCCTTGTCCACATGAATTTTAAATCCATGCTTTTATACATTAAGGATTGAGACTAGGTTTGATCTGATAGCAAGGATCGTTGGGTTCTAAAGATAGACCATACAAGATGGTCTAGTACCTTTTTACAAGAGCATAGCAAGCCAATTAATTGATTTCAAGATCGATTAAAAGTCCATTGCAAATTAGTAAATTGACGAGGGAAATGAGTGATTGATGAAAAGCCTTAAAAGAATTTTTATTTTTCCTGGTAATAGAACGCTATTTTGAGGTTTCAACTGGGGATGGGGTGTTTTTAATTTAGTTTTCCGTGGATGTGAAAAGTATTTGAATAGTCCATGTGGAACTCAACATCATCTACCATTAGCTTTGACGTTCACGTCATCAACGTGTGTTATGTATCCTAGCGGTCTAAAGTGATTTTATTGTTGTTAAATTAAAGTTTGGTGACTCAATTGCTAGCAATTGAACTCCAATGATATATTTGTAGGTAAAGTTAGGGGTATAAGCGGTCCGATTTTATCGATTTTTGACAAATTTTCAAATTAAACCTTTTAAATCGATTTGAGAAAAATCCAAACCTAAAAAAATCATTTTGAATGGTTTGAAAAAAACTCAAACCGAAACATAACGGTTTGGTCCGATTTTAAACCATCGATTTCGTCATATATTTTTTTGCCCGTCTACTTTTATGTCATTAATTTATTGAATTCAATGTATATTTATATCTTACTAGCAATAAATCTAAAACAAACTAATCCCCTGTTTGAACTAAATTTTTTGGACAAAAAAATGAAAATTTAGACCGTTATCCCACAGGTCCAGCCGCCTTTATTGACTAGCTGTTTCATGTGTAGGACCCAACCCCCTCTCCAACGATCAATTTTCTCATTATGATGATATGAAAAATATGGCTCAAACAAGGGCTAAATATATCTACTATAAATTCAATTACCAACTAAATCAAAGAGAAATCAAAATAAACTAAAATATAATTTTTTTTTCTTTTTTGTTCACAATTTTTTAGCTAATGATGATACAATAACGCTACAATACAAGTCTACTAAATTAGATATAAGGCCCCAAAAACATAATAATGTCCAGCAAGACCTCGTTATTATTATATCTGAAAAAAATGATACTGATTAGACAAAGAGAATAACCAACCACAATAATAAAGTAATTGTTTATAATATCTAAATATAACAATTACACGAATTTACGTTTGTACGATATTACGAAACGCATTTAATTTCAGATTTTTACCTTAGTTTGCTCAAAAAAAAATTTATTGATTTGAAATTTTATTCGTAGCAAATATTATCACCGAAGATCTAGCATCTCTTTGTCTCCAATTTGGTATAATGGACTTTAATTCAACTTTGAAGAGGCGTGAAAATTTTGAAAAGAAGTGTGTGGTGCCGATAGTTCAAGACTATATTGGGTGTCATTGGAGTTCATCTAAATTCAGAAGAGGAAAATGGTTTTTGATAGATTGTATTAGTTTTGAGATTATTAGATATAAATTAGGAATATTGGATAATAATAATATATCTATATTAGAAAATTGGAAATTGACAAAAATGCCTACAAATGACAAAACTATTGAATTTTACATATTTAGATGAAATTTCAAAAAATTTTATTTTTTCATTTTTCTATTTTTATATATTTTTTCACAGGTCTGGTTTGGTTTTAAACCGTAATTAAAATTTTCAAATCTAAACCAAACCATTTCGACCAGTTTGGCTTGGTTCAAAATTATTTCGTTGACCGAATCCACGTGGCACCAAATCGACGGTTTCTAAAATGTGATTTCGGATAGATTTTTCAATTTTGAGGTTTTTGCTTACAGCCCTAGTTAAAGCAGTGACCTCCAATACAATTAACATAAAATAGACGTGGAAAAGTAAAAACAATATTCGGAAAACAGTAATTATATTCTCACCACATTTTTTATTAGTTGAACCACTATTTAATTATACTTAAAAGCAATATATCGTTGCTCTGCTCATTGTATCACTTATGCTCTTAACTTTTTTCGACTCATTCTTATCCTCAATTTTTCATTAATTAGCACATTTCATATTCGATAACAATTTTTGTCCAAAAATCTCATTGAAAAGCGTAAAACGAATTATTTTTTAATCATAATAATAATAATAAATACTAAAGTGTGAAAAAAATATTTTTCTCACATTTCAAAGCATACAAACATAATATTCTGACAAGCACCATTACCTAAGACAAAAACGTGCTAAAAGGTTAAAGATAAAAATAAGACTAAAATGTTAGGGATATAAGTGTTATGATGAGCAAAATTTATGGTTCATAAATGCAATGAAAATGTAGTGTAATGAATAAAAAATTATGGTGTAAATAAAATTACTTGATGAGAAATTGAGAGGTTTTTTGTTCTAAAAATTATTTTAAATAATTAATTTATAAAAATGATGAGACAATTTATGAAATTGATTATGTAAATTTATAAATATGGTAATTATATTCATACTTTGTATAACATGTGAAAATAGGTTTAATTCTACTCAAAAGAGATTGTTAAACAAATTAGGAATATTGGTCTTCATAATTGAATCGTGTTGTCAATTTTATAAAATTCGGATTAAAGAGGATTGATATAAGGTGATTCGGGATCCTAGTACGCATTTCGTTATCATATTTTTATAAAACTTGCATTTAGTTATAATCACGCATTTAATTTAGTTAATTTAGGCTTTATATTTATAAGTAGTTTATTAAATCATAATTTAGTTAGCAAAAATATCAAGAATTTCTATTGTTTCGGTTAAGGCGACGATAGATAAAATTGAACTAATCAATCTCTGTGGAACGATATTCGAACTCATTTAATCCACTTTATTACTTGTTAACGAACCATACACTTGCAGTAGTTTTAAATCGAAGGAAATAATTTCGCGAACAGTTCTCTAAATTCAGTCCTAGGAAAATAAAAAAACAAAAGCGACACTGAATGTCATTGACATGGCAAAATTCATGAACTTAAATGACATATTTGTGAAAATAAATGAGTCTGCATAAAAGAGAGGGTTACAGCAGGCCAAAACCAAACATGTCAAACCAAAAAAATAAGAAGTCCATAACAGTTTCAATGAAAAGAAAATCCCACAATTTAAACTGTATAGCAGTTCAAGATAGTCCATATTTACGCTATTTCCTTTCTCATGCATGGAATTGCTAGAAGCAAATCAAATGTACTAGCATTTCATGACATTGTGATTGTAATAGAAGGTTGAGATAGTAATAAGCAACAAGTAACTTCCCTGCTGACTAAATTGATTTAAATTCCAAGTTCTTATAGCCTCATGATAAACCAGTTCCACACAATTGCTGCAGGAAAATTGTATTGAACACATTTCTTAACCACAATAATCATCACAGTTTGCTTCTCATGAAAACAGAAGACCATGAAAATCATCACAATCTGCTTCTCATGAAAACGGAAGTCAAAAATCACCCCCTTCATTTGTCGTAGACTCAAAGTATGTCAAGAAATGAAACTTAATTGAAGAGTAGTGGTTGACATGTTTTTAAATTCAATTAGCGGGGACAGGGGTGAATCCTTTGATTCCTCCACCCCCCCACCAAACCAAAATAAATAAATAAATAATCCAATTAACTTTCGTGTAAGAAAAAACTGGAGTGCTTTATGACCATATTATGTGATTTTATGATGGCTTAATCCAGTAAAGTTTTCTTACAGTAAGACAAAGTCTATCCTCCCTTATTATCTTCTGCCGTATCTCCTATCTCGAAAGTTAATTATTGCTAAGCATTGGTCTCTTACTTAATAGCTTATATAAATTAGTTGATCTTCCAAATTGCTATTTTTACTCACTTTAGAGAATGTCAAATACATTTATCTTCTAACATAGACGCAAGCGTTAATATTAATGAATGAAGATCGAAACTCATCGATTCAAATTCAATACTGAGAAACAATCAAAGAACACAATCATAACATGTTGATTCACGTAGAATACCGAGAATTGACAATCAAGACTCCTTGATTTGCATACGAACACCATCCATAGATTAGTTGATTCCGAAGAATACTAAATTATCAAAGCAAAATTTACGCAAACTCAAATATATTTTAGATTCGTTGATTGTAGTGGTGTTATGAACTATATTTTTTAGACAAAGTGGTGGCAATACCCTCTAACAGTTGGTATCAGAACTAGAGGTCTCGTATTTGAATTGTGCTAGAGCATTCTCATAGACAGGGTGGATAATGCAAGAGCATGCTTGAAAACGAGAGTGGGCCCCGACGGACTTGGTTTGGAGTGAATTCTTGGGCTTGATTCTGCTTAGCTTTTGGACAAAGCGGTAGCAATACTCTACATCATCTTCCAACGTAGATATCACGTTCGAACTTCCTACCTTACATCCTTTAGGTTGGGCTGTATTGCTGTCTTAAGCTCCATCCTCCAAAAAAAGGAAAAAGCAATAACCTTTCCTCTACAGAAATGATTAAAGATCCCCCACTAAGCAGCAGCCATTACTCAAGAAACATGCACATTAATATATTTCAAAATTGCATTTACTCACTTTTGAGAACGATGCACATATAGTATCTTATCCAAACTTCTCCGCTTATATCTTTCATGCTCTGCACTGTCCTAAGCTCAATTCATTCTCTCAAAAGAATGGGAAAAGAAAATAACCTTTTTATGGCATAAATGTAGATCTGGACAGGATCGATTAGGTTTATCCCCAGATTCCGAATTCGTTGGACATTTTAACAGATATAATGCTGGTATCAATTGAAGTGGAAAAAGAGGATTTATGTAGCCGACCCTAATATTTATTGGGTTACGTCTGATCTAGTTCATGTAATAGTTGTCATGTCACTATAGGCAAGTTTTGCAGGAGTCATGTCTACTGATCCTTTTCTTTTTCTTTTTTACTGAAACTAGTCGCTTTCTTGATTAAGCACCAAAACTTCAAACAATTTTAACCCTGGAATCATTCTAAACCAAAACCTAGATCAATCAAAGACCTGCTGCTCCTGCTAAGTATCACATAGAGTTCACTCAATCACCCCTCCATTTGCAAAAATCACAACTGTCATGCACAAGATACTTCATAATTTCCTTGCCAAAGGCCATTATGAACCAAATGGATGTTGCAAAATGTGATAGGATTCAGCTCTTTGCGAGTTTCAAAATTCAGGCGGATCAAAAGTTCAATCAGCCCTGAAAGTTCTCATTGTGTCATAGTAAAGCTACAAACCAGTATTTGTGTGTGTTTCAAACTAATAGCACATTTGCAAAAGATAAGCTGATTATGTGCAAAATTAGTAGTCTCCAGACAAGTTTTTTGGAAATTCGAATATTTCAAATAGAACCATGGGAGAAAAAATCATTTTACAAAAACAAAGCTTTTCAGTCACTGGACATTACATCACCGATCTTAACATCAGGTCTTGGAAACTCAGATATCCATTTGAAGCTACAGGCTTTTGTTTTTCTATTTTATTTTTTGACGAGCTACAGGCAATTTGAAGACAGAGAGATTGAGGACCAAAAAGATAAAAATATATAACATTAAATGCATTAAAGGAAATCAAATCTAACAATAAAACTGCAAACGAAGATAACTCACTGTGTCTCTTTGACAGAAAAGCTCTCCTTGAATATAATTATGGGTAGCATCTCTCTCACCTCCTTCTTCAACCCCATTTCACACTGCCAACACAACAATAAGAAAATCAAAACCAGTCACACATACAAACAAATGCTATATTGATCCGCCACATATGTCTAAAAAGGCTTCGGATTCTGGTAAGTAAAGGATCTTTATGGAGCTCACCCTGGAGATTTCAGAAGTACTTTGAAAGGATGATAAGGAATTACTTGTCCTCATTCTTAAAGAAGACCAGTCAACCCTCCTCCGGCGAAGATAGAACAAGTAAAACAGGAGAAGAAGAATGAATGTAAAGAAAATTGGAACTGAAAATATGAAAGCTTGGTAGAGTTTTAACTCAGCTGCTGCTTTTGTGCAACAATTATTACCACCATTACTGGTAGTACCATTTTGAATTCCAGCTGTTGTTTCTTGCCCTTGAATGCTGTTTTTAACATTACGATACATCACCAACAGAAAAAAGAAAAAAGAAAAAATGCTTCCCTTTCTTCAAATCCCACTTGTCAATAACAAGAAAAATCACATTTATTCAAGGAAAATAGATTTAGAACACTTTAGAGTTAACTTTACTTATAGATTGTTGAATGCCCAGATGAGAACAAATCGAAACTAGATTTCATGCTTGATTAGAGGGGTTCTTGGGATGCCAAAAAAAAAAAAAAACCTGAAATTATGCAGGTAGAAAAGAAGTGAATGAAAACTGTAATTCAAGAAGCTATTTTTCAGAATTAAAAAAAATAATAATCTGGATTTTAATTTTGAGATATAAGATCTATACAAGTCATGAAATGCATCCGTACTCTGATCGTTCAGCACACCACTCACCGTTGTTTATACTTAGCCTGTAAGGATTAAATTAAGTTTTAATAAATTTTGGTAAAATTAATTATTGACTTTTACTTATATTAAAATCTAAATTTTATTTTTCCAGCAAATAGAGGCTAAATTTAGTTCTTGTTTGATTTCCTTTAAAACAAAATAATTTATTTTTTATGCTCAATTTTAACCACACGTTTACACGATAAAATATTTTACACGTAAATCAATTTTTTTTAAACTTTTTAATCACACGTTTTTCAAAAAATTACTATTTAAAACATTATTTTTACACCATAATGATCATCAAACAGAGCTTAATTTTCCACAAACCTTTGTCTTTTATGAATATCGACGGGTCCAAATTACAATTCTCAACAAAACTTACGATTATTAGATGAGCTCTTTCCTCGTAATATGTTAACAAAACACTTGCGATTCTCAGCAAGCAAACACTCTCACTTGAAACTTTAATACCCTAATTAGATTATTAAGCCCTGTTTTGTAACTTTTTTTTTTTTTTTTTTTAGATTATAAGTTGTGAATGTCATAAACATAAGAAAAATGCTAATTATACATAATTCCCTTTATATAAGAGTGTCCACTCTCTCCCAAGAGGGGGGACCCCACATAAATAAAATATTCGAGTAAAGTCCCCCGTGTGAAAGAAGGGACACCTTTATGTACATATAATTATGTATCAGTAGCATCACTCTAAATATAAGGCTTGAATTCAACAAGAGCCTAATTACGAAATTTTTTCAAACGTCAATATATAATAATATTACAAATATAAAAAATCATATATGAGAATTTTTTTCTCAGGGATTAGGAACCCACTGGCCTTCAATTGGGTGTCACTGGTTAAAAAATGAATAAATATTACATGTTCAATAAAATGTGTGATCAAAACTTGAGTTTGATCAACTTGTAAATTCAAAAAAACTGGATCAAGCAGCGTCCAAGTCATTATATATAATAAGTTCCCACGTCTGGAATTAGCATCTACTGTCAAGAGTAAACCTTTAAGAAGATTTATCTCTTCTTTTACTTTATAAACTAGAAGTATGGAATGGGATTTATTTTGAGTGTGACAAAGTGAGATATTTTATCCGTCTCGTCAAATTTTTGACATTTTGATATATAATAAAACTTTAATCCTTTTGATTATTTATATCTTCAACGAGTTTTTAGTTCTATCGAGTATTTTCTTCACTTTACTTCGCATCACATAAGGGAATCATTTTAGCGAAATATTTCTAATCAACAGCTAACAATTGACTTCATAGGTAAAATCGTTCAATTAAATATCTTAAGAGCCCGTTTGGTAGCCATTTTCTTCAAAATGCATTTTTCTCTCTTTTCTTTTCAACCACACATTTTTTATTAAAATAATATTACTCGTAAATCAAAAACTTTTCCTTATTTTTCAACCGTACATTTCACATTAATTTACTATTTTAAAATACATTTTTACATAAAAATGTATATCAAACACCCCTTAAATATTTAAGGATATTATGTCAGACTAACTCTTGATTGAGAAGGGTAGACACAACAAGGTTCCAGCGAACCCATCGATTAAATGTCATTTTCACTGACAGAAACTTTAAACTATATACTACTTCCATGGCAATATATCAATCGATTAAATGTCATTTTCACCTTATTTTATGATTTTTCCACAATGATTGAACCTTTCATTTTCGTATACTATATTTCAAGATTATTAATAGGCAATAAATTAATAAATATCTTAAATCTCGACAACTTATGATTGGACTCCGCCAAACCTACCAACCCTTCTCATTCAATTTCAAAAACAGCCGTGCTACAATACCCGCATGAATGACCGCGAGGTTGACACACCACACACACACGAAGGTCAAGATTATTTTATTTACGGGAGACCCACACCGAACATGTGAGTACACGGTCTCGTTTGGCATTTTCCTTTCAAAAAGCCAAACGAAGTAGACTAATACCATTGCGCTCGAAATGACCTCGCGGGTTGTTTGGCATTTTCCTTTCAAAATACCAAACGAGGCAGACTAATACCATTGCGCTCGAGATAGTCTCGTAGTTTAGGATCAGTTTCGTCCTGCCTATAAAGACTAGAAGGATCATGCCAAATTTTGACGGAAGAGATGCAGAAGAAGGTTTGGATACAAAAATTCATATTTATACTCACTGATATACTACAAATCAAAGTTTTATGTACAAGCAGTGTTACCAATAACCGAGTTGTTCCATTTTATGGTAAAGAAAAATACTCATTGCTCATACATCCCTGCCTTTTAGCCTAACTTCTGTAAGGGAGTACGGTGGCTTCTTTGGGCTTGAAGGAAAGGTGCTGAATTTACGAACCAAGACCTTGAAACACGGCAATAATAGTATGTAGAGTGTGCCCATGATAAATGGCGCAGCAACAACCCATCCCAACAGCTGCATATATTTTAAGAAATTACCCAATAAATAGACCAAAGTAAATAAATGGAGATTGCCAGAGAAAATTAAGAGAATCGAGAATAACAAAGTACGCGTATACATCAGGTTCAAAATTTCGAATACGACTTGCAGAAAATAGTACAAAAAATAGAACCGTGTCAACTATGTTAAAACACTACATTTATAAAGATAGCCATCTTAAAAGCTTAATATTTACCCAAAATGAGATAAGAGAATCTGTTCATCAAACCTTTTAGCCTCTCTAAAGATTGCTAATATCCATTTTGTGAGAAATTATAGAAAGCTACTCAACGCTTTTCCCTCAAGCTTAAGACACGCAGCAGTTTAAGGTATTCTTTGTCTGACTGTATGGCTGCTACTGCAATATAGCATTCCTAGAACCCTGAGCAGCAGTTCATATACGTAAAGAAAACGGACTACCTATGAAAGCCAATCTGACTAAGGCTAAATCTACTAATTAATATGATTATCTTCCTTATATTCTTCTAAGCATGGGAAGAGTTTCATTGTGCCTATTAATTCTCACATGCCTGTAAGCTGCTAACTTAAGCTCTAGTCGAGGACAAGCTGCTCTATTTGCATTTGAAAATAAAAGTGGTAAAACCCCCCAATCCTCATGATTCACAAACACGATTCTTAGCCAGGTATAAAACAAAGCAATGAATATATTCCCTGGCAGATGCAAGCCCAATTAAATGAAGAAGCGAGATGCCCCGGGGGGGGGGGGGGGGATGTGAGGGATCGAATTGGTTACGTACTGCATGGACAATGCTCTGCAAGACTTCTCGTGAAGCTTGGCCAGTCAACACCTTCTTGAAAGCATCAGACGTTAATGGAAAATGAGGTCCACCGGTAATGAATTCACTGAAGCGTAAAAATGGAACCACTAGACTACAATATAAAATAATAAAAATGCAAAAAGAAACGAATTAGAAACTTAAAGACATTTGTCAAGAAACAATCAAAGGATTAGCTGATAAGTTAGCTGGAAAATCACTGCTGAAGAAGAACCGAACCAAAAGGAAGTCATTAATTCTACTATTTCAAACAGAAGTCGCACAAACAAATTATCCCCAGTATATATCCTGTTTTCTCTCAGTTAGCAGGGACAATACATACCCCAATCTAATTGTTGGATTAGGAAACAAAAAACTTCTAAAAGAAAAGAAACTGCATTTTTTTACAACATTGTCCGAACAAGGGCAGAAAGAAGGAAAACTTGTGACCACTGATGTTCTCTGTCATAGGTCTCCAAAACATATGGAATCGTGCCCATAAATGCTAGACCAATCAACCAGTCATATCAGTAACTAACCTATTAATTTTATAGCTCAGACAAAAAGAACAACAATCATCCAGACCAGGATCTCTGCATCCTAGAAACTCCTAGGGACAAATCCTAGCAGCACGTGGTGCACAAGAGGATGAACAGTTAATGGGCTACTAGACTTGCATAGCTAATGAATTAAAAAACATGATAAATATTCATAACGAAGCGTTTTGTATGAAACTGTATGTCAATAATTAAGTCGTCTTAATTCAAAGCATGAGAGTTGACGTGCTCAGCGAAAAGTTACCTCAATTCAACTGGAGTAGCAATAAAATTTGTCAGCATCACAGTTGGAGCATGGCAAAGAGATCCCAGCACTGCAATTGCCATCCCACAGAGAAACACGGTAACCCCTAACAAAGATGATTAAACGCAAACATAAGGTGGTGTGGTCATCCAAATTATCTATGGAAACCCCATATACTTGGCAAGACAACTTCTTTATAAAACTCCCAACTGTATCAAAGTTAAATCCACAAATAACCCAACATAAAATAAAACTTATTTAGGGAACATGTAAATTATCTAAAATAGAAATTTAAAATCGATAAAAAAGAATTAGAAAATAATATTAATGTTACTTTGTGAATCTAAGTGGCATAGAACTATCCCACAAGGACTTAAGAAGTGCACAAGTAAAATTAAAATGATGTCATCGTGGAGCAGGCTCAAAATAAGCTTATTTCACAATCACTTTGCATAAGCGAAGCTCTGTTACTAAAATGTCTCAAGTTCCATCTGGGCAAGACCAAACTTTTGAGGTTGGAGCCTCATTATCGAACCTTAACACTTAAGATGATTGAGCTATCTACTAGCCCAGAGCAATCGAAAGCATTATAGGTAAATGGGTGCCTCCTTAAAGAAAAGCATATAAACATCTTGTTAATCACATAGCAGCATAAGAGAGGTGTCACATGGCAAAAATGGTTGTAAGAGCATATGGTAAAGATGATTCAGGAAATCTAGTGAGAGTAAGAGAAATGACACTAGTCATGGAGCTATTGAGAATTGAGATTTGTTATAGGCTCACCAACAATAAAGCAACACATGTCCAAATGATGCAAAAAAAAAAAAAAACTAGAAGCCCCATAGCTTAGGAAAACTATAAATACAATGTGGTTTTACAGGGAAAAGAGGAATTATTAGAAATCTTAGCCAAATTCATGCTCTCCAACTCCTAAAGCCATACTTGACAGTGGTCACCACCAAACTCCTTCGAGCTCCGGTGGCCGGAAAAGGCTTTGTAGAGGTGGCCAAGGATTTGTTGGCTTGCATTTTTTGAGGTCAACAATTAGTACATCACTCTAAACATGAACCAAATCAATGAGAAAAAGACACTTTCAGAATATTAACATATAACTTAAAGGTTGCATCAACTAATAGATGCATCGTTTTTTTCTCAATGAAAAATAAAATGTCAATGAGAAATACAGCACTTATGAATCTTGCTTGGGAGAGTGAAGAATATATCCGGGGCAGCGTTAGAGCCCGATGGTGTAACTTAAGAGTACTTGAACTTTGAGAATGATGAAATCTTTCGGGTGCATGGATAAAGGTGAAAAACAAAAACCAAATTGACTGGATGTGCAATTCATCATTCTGATTACCGGAAGAAAAAAACTATTAGAAAACGGTGGAGAAATACATGAAAATCTTTTTATGTATTCGTTGGAGAAGTACGAGGAAATCGAGTCTTGTATTCCATAAATTTCATGGCATTAATGCAGCTCTATCCCTAAAAATTAAGATATATCTCGTGCCTCTCTTTTGGATCAACTTCGATTTGCACTTGATATTACACAACTAAAATCACCATTCCCTACATCTCTATTCTTTTCTACGTGCTAGAAAATACAGCTACTTATGTTACGGACACCCTTAGTTATTCCAGCAGATCTTATATAACAGACACTATTTTCAGAGAAGTAATTTTGTCGAGCAGTCAATGAGCTATTGAGCAACTGGGTTACGGTGGAAATGAACTCAATAAGCTTCCCTTTTTTCATTTCTGCATCCAATCTCAATATATTTAGTTTTCTATAACAATTCAACTGAAATATTAAAATACCACATATGGGGAACACGCCCAAAGTGATCCCTACAGCCCCTGAAAATGCCAATTGCTTCGGCTCCGCTCCCCTATTAATATTTTCAATAAAAACAACAAATTCATGAAATAATTCAGTAAAATCCAATCGACAGACCCTACTTCCACTAAATAAATCATAACTGTAATCCTTAAAATAACTTTCATAAACATAAACGAAAATCACCTGCGAAGTATTTGGAGAAACGGGTCGACGATCCTTTTCTGGACCCATTGTCCTGACCCGAATCCGATGTATTTGGAGAAACGGGTCGACAATCCTTTCAACATGTCCGCTATCTCTCCAAGTATTGAACTTATCTTTCGGTTAGATTTGATTTCTCTTTTTCAGTTTAAATTATTCTGGGGAGCTTGCTAATTTAATTCAGTTGACAAGATGGATCACGCAGATTGATGCGCTACTGAAAATGCTGAAATTTAATTAATTTTTGATAATTTGAAATTATTTCTGTCTGCATATTCTGACAGAGAGTTGAATTGTTAACTAAAAATTCAGATTCTGAAAGTGAATTTGACAGAGCGAGGATTATGAAGAACATCCACGAGACAACAATGTCGTTTCATGAGTGTAATTACATTATCCTTTTACCGGTAAATTTTGTTTATGTGAGGTAACGTAAAGCGGGCGGAAAATGACAAGAGAGTTGGAATCTGGGTGGAGTGTGAAGTGCCAGCATTTCCGCGCCACCGTTTTCATTATAGGGAAATTTGCACCTCCAGTCCCCATGCATTTACGAACATTTCACTTAGATTCCCATTCTTAATTTGTTTGGCAATCATGTTCGTAAGCCTACAAAATGGATGCATATAACTCCTTCTAGATGGTTTTCGTCAAAAATTTCCGTTAAAAGGCCAACTGTCACCATGCACATGGCCTATATATTCCTTGAAAGTGTTTTTCTTTATTTATTCAAACACAATAAAGAAAATGAAAAACCAAAAGATAAGAGTGGGGAAAAAAAAGAAGAAGAGAAAAATTAATAGTGAAATATAAACAAAAAAGCACACAAATGTCTTCTATCCCATCAACACTTTCAATGTAGCCTGCTACACTCTCTAAAAATATCTTACCTGACTATCATACAATTAGTGGAAGATGTCACCGTGATTTTGTGCTTGATTTTCGCGAACCTTCCCTCATTGGGTGATAACGAGGTGAAAATTTTCACCTAGTTTTGGCGAATAATGGGGTAAAGAGAAGGAGGTAGAGGTGCACGGGACAACGGAGGCAATGAAGGTTGAATACTAAAGAAACATTTTCTTGTTCTATTTTAATTATTTTTAAGATATTAACTTGTAACCTAAAATATCAGTAAAAATATAGGTCGTGTGCCCTACAAAATGCAGACGATGATTCAATAGAACATTGGACGAAACTATCCAAAAATAGTAAGCTTGGCAATGTGATCGCCAAAAAGTTAAGAATGAGGAATCCAATTGCAATGACAATAATGTTTTGGGAGCCAAGTGCAAATTTCCCTAGATGGCCAGGATTCTTTAACGTGAAAAAAGGTATCGGGTCGGCCTTTTGGAGTAGACAACCCCACAGACAGGAATTAGCTCTTAGCGAGCATAACATCATCTCTTTTTGTAGTTTCTACGTTTTAGCTTGGACCACATCACATGCATGTATGTGGTCGCGGAAAGAGAGGCTAATTCGACACCAAAGTCACAAAAAAAAATAATAATAAAAATAAAATTTATATATATATATAAAATGATCTAATGGGACATAGCACACCATTTGATTGGTAAATAAGTTAATGGTAGGTCAAATTAATTTAATGATTCACCAATTAATTGTTATGACATGTTATCGGTGCTTAACATAAACTAAGTATCAGTGCTCATTAGATTATTTTCCTATCTATACACGTGCGCACGCACATGGGTGACTAGGACACGTTTCAATAGCACTACCACTTTTTATCACCTTTTAAGTGACAATAGAGTTCATTATATACAATTAGTTAATATACAAAAAAAGGAAAATGTGATGTTTACACAATGGTGTACACATAGCATTACACCTCCCTCACATGAAAAGGGATTCATATATAATAAAATATTCACGGGCCCCCTCCATGTAAAAGTAGTGTAATGCATTGAGGTGTACACATAGCATTTTTCAAAAGGGAATACAGTTGATAGACAATTTAGGTTGTGAATCCACCATCATCTCTGCTGATGGTAAGCACGGACAATACTACGTATCATCATATGAGTATGTTTGACTAAGCTTTAAATTTAATTTAAGATATTTAAATATATTTTTGTCCATACTTTTTGTATGACTTATTATTCACTTCTCGCATAAGTACCACTACTTCCAAAGAAGTATTGGAAAAAAAAAGGACCCCTTGTTTCATTGTTATTGTGCAATTAGTGGTCAATATAACATTTGTGCTTTATAACACACCTTTGAAAATTGTGCACGTAGGGGAAATAATCGAAAACCAATCCAGACGATTGTATTATCGTGAAAAAATCATAAAAATAAACAAGTTAAGAATCGATCAACTTCTTTTTAAAACATTTAGAGTGTGTTTGATTAACATGGAAAATATTACCTAGAAAAGAAAATATTTTCCATCTTTTGTGGAAAATAAAAACCACCTCTACCTAAGAAAAATATTTTCCTTAAAAACAAGGAAAATTAGGCATATTTTCAAAAGTTGGAAAATGTTTTCCATGGAAAAAAAATAGCAATCAAACACTCCAAGTGAAAATTTGGATGAAAAACTGATATTTTCCATGGAAAATAAATGTAATCAAATACACCCTTAGTAATTTTTATAATGAAGCTCGATTTAACTCCAATTCAATCTTGGACGAAAATATTAGCATTATAGTTTTATTTTTTACATTATATTTTAATTGCATTCAAGGTTCTCGGGGTTTTTATATTGTAGCAATTATGTTCCTAATTTTTTCTCGAATTTTTATCTTTGAACTTTTATTAATTAGCATATCTTATTATTGATGATAATTTCTATCAAAATATTCAATTTGCATCTTTAAAATTAGGACAAATTTTTTTTCATACTTTTATAATTATTATTTTTCAAAAATGATGTGCAATAAGTATTTTTAGCTCTTTTAACATGCTTTTTTTGGACGGTATCCATTAGCAAAGACATATGTACTAATTAGTGAAAAATTAAAGATAGAAAATTGACCCAAAAAAATTAAAAATTAAAGACGCATGTATTATAATGAGTAAATTTTGAAAAAGACCGCGCTTCACATACAAGGAGCGTTTTACAGAGCTCGGCCAGGGCGGATACAAGATCGAGGGCTCGCACAAATAAATATATTTTTTTAATACAGGTCGATGGGACCGACCTGCGCTACAATGAGAGAGCCTATAAACCCCCTGTAGAACAGTGCCTTGCATACAGGGCATTGTTCTTTTGAAAAACTATAATGTAATTCTGATTCAAAGGCAGTACGATTAGTCAAAGCTGAATATAATTACTTTTTTATATTCTAACCATTTATGTTTTTTGGATCCCTTTCAATCTGTCCCTACCATCCGAAACCGTAAGCGGGTAAATGAGTGCATATAACATTGATAAAACTAGCTCCTCGCTGACATAGTTTCTTTAAAATTTGTTTTAACTCCACACTATTTTAATAAATTTGCACGTCAACATATAACATTTTTTCATGTTTTTAACAACACATTCTTTAAAAAATTTATCTTTCTCAAAAAATCAATTCTAAAAATATCTACGCTGAACAAACCTAACATTATTGTAGTCCCGTTTCTCAAACACCAAAAAAATACTTTAAGCGTGTTTTCTAACATTACTGTAGCTAGCCTGATTTTCAAACACCAAAAACGATATGTAAAACCAGTATTTTAAAATGTGCTCATATGCTCGTTGCGTTTTCGAAACATCTTGTATATGAGGCATGGGCATTATAATGAGATTAATTCATTTCCCTTGTCACATATGCACGCTTAAACACTAAAATACATGCATTTTATGTTAAAAATTGTGGCAAAATTAGTTTAAAATGTCTAATCCATTTTTATAACTAAAAAAAGCGAAACATCAAATTATCTTATATCACCTAAACCCATGAATTATATATAGCCATTGATTGAGCTCCACTCTTCTAAAAATTCATTTTTTCAAAACTAATTTTCAATCACATAGTATTCTATAAAATAATATTACACGCAAATTCAAAATTTTTTCTTAATTTTTAACCACACATTCTTCATCAATCACTATTTAATAATGCATTATTTTCCTTAAAATTGGGCTCAAAGGTTGTCAACGAGTTGAGCCGCTCGCGAGCTAAAAATCGAGGCTTGGGCTCGGCTCGAGCTTTTTTTCGCTCGAGCTGAGCCGAGCAAAAGTTTTGCCAAAAAATCGAGGCTTGACCCAAGCTTTCGGCTCGAGCCTTAATGAGCCGAGTTGGCTCGATTTTATTTATTTATTTATTTTTTTTCCATTAAGGCAGCAACCTGTTGTAGAGATGCCTCAACCTTTATACAAGTGAACCGATTTCTTAAGCCCGCATATTTTAATAAGACCTAAGTAAACTTTAATATCATTTATGACCCGCTCATCCTACCTAGGCAACAAATGTGAATTGCATTTGTGTAAACATAATTAAATGTAGGCAACAAAACATGAAGTTTTAATTATTGATGTTAATTCTGATTAGACGTAGCAAAATGATTTAATGATTCCTAATTAATAGGTACATATATATGTTCTAAATAGGAATATTTGTGTTGTAATTATCAATTGATTTGCAATGATAAGTCAATATTTTGTCATAATTATATCCAGAAGACAAACTTAACCATGAATTAGATTGTTTAAAAAGGTTAAAAGTACAGGGAAAAGAAACTAATTTATAACTCAATCAACTAACCTACAGCCCAAGATTCGGTGGATTTTTTTTATATGTATAGAGTTTTATATATTATTTTTTTATATTTTTCTCTAGCAGGCCCTCAAGCCACATGGGCCGGCTCGGGCTCATCCCGACACCCTACGATGGGGCTCGGCCCGAGCCTTGAGCCGAGTCGATAAGAGCTTTTTACGGGCCGAGCCACGAACAGCCGGAGGACGCGAGCCAATTTGTCATACCTAGCTCAAACAAGGCACAAAAATTTATAGGGAGTTTTTATGTTTAAAAAAATAAAAAATCAAAACAAATCTTCGGAGGATTGCAAACAACCTACCTCGAGCCCGAGCTTCTTCTTCTTTGATTTTTCTAGTAAGTGATGCCAGTAATGGACAATCTTGGATTGTTGGTGGTTTTGATGATGAGGAGGAGATTAATAATGATATCTTACAATCTAACAGAGGTAATAGAAATTCTTAAGTTAAAGTAAAGGAGTCCTATTAAGATGATTTTACGTTGAATGATACGAAATATGACTTAGATGAAAAGGAGTTTGAATTGGAATAAAGAATTAGACAATATTTAGCCACTATATAAGGCTCAGCTGCATTTTTTGGTCAAAATACATTTTGGAATGGTATTCGTTGAAGAATGTTTGATTTAAAAAAAAAAAAATTAATTTGCGTGTAAAATTATTTTATGGGAGAATATATGGTTGAAAATGAATTTTGAAAAAAAAAATTTTGAAAAAAGGGAGTCAAACACAGGTCTAGAGATTTTTTATTTTTT